ATCCCAAAAGCAAAATAAAAAACTCCAATACTTAAAAGCATATTAAAATATTACTTTACCTGAATTCTTCACTATCTGTGTTCAGTTCTTGTTCAATGTATAGGAAGACTTGAACAAGTTCGCTAACTATTACCGGCCATAACGAAGTTGCATGTTGTGGAGACATTCTAAGAAGTAATACCCGAAAACATAAAAATACTTGTGCTTGAATAGATGGAATCACCTGTGGTAGTCGTAAACTGTCCGCCAATCGTTCTAATAATAAATAAATAATGATGATAAAATCAATATTACAGAAAATAAATTGACGTTTTAGAGATGGTTTACCTTGAATTTCAGGCATGTATTTGTGATATTGATCCATTTCGCTACAAAGTATCACATATGCTAATCTCTTTAAAAGTTGCGCCTTCTGCTCATATTCTTGTTCTTTTGAAGAGAATATACTGATACTGCTACTTTGAGCCATTGAAACGCGATCTGCAAGCAAAATAAATTTATCAAAAATAATTCATTAATAAAATTATTGAATAAATATTCATTTTTTTCAGAAGGATAACTACTCATTAAATCTCGGAAAGTTGTATTGTCATGTGTCATTAAATTATCTATGATAGTCCTCCAGTATGGTAAACACGCTGGCGTCATTTGAAAGAAAGCGGAGTCAAGTAGAAGATCCAGCACATCTTTGCGCCACGCTTTTCTTGTATATTGATAACCTGACAAAGAACTTAGTAATTGGGAACAAGCCGTAAACGAGGCAATATTTTTTGTCCTAAAAGTTTAGTAATTAGTAGAACACAATAGTAAAACATAATTGATCAAAAGTTAAAAAAATAAAAGGTGAATCTTACGAATGATTCTTAAGATATGGTGTAACATTATACATGAGATTGGTTAACAGCGTTACTACGCGTTCTTTTTCTTGAGAACCATAACTAACATCCAATAAAGGTGCTACTATTTCTGCTAATACTGCTTGAGCTTGAATACTATATGCTGCATTAGGTGGTGTGCCAGGTGTTACTGCAAAAAATGTCTTTGTTAGTTTCTTTGCCAAATCAGGAATTAGAATGTTAAGGCATATTGCTCTAATATAAAAAAAGAAAAGTATAAACTTATGTAAATATGGAAAAAAATTGCTAATGTAAAATGGAAAATAAGATTTTTCTAAATGAAAAGCACATTACGCACCAGCACCACTTTTGCCTTCTTTACCTTCCGAGGATCCTTCGGCAACTTCGAACGCATCTTCTCTTACTGCTAAGTTTCTTCTTAACCAGGTCGTTTGTTCAAGACATGCCCCGGCTATTTGCGAACATGACTCAATCAACTAAAACATTTTTAAGTTGAATTGTAGTTCAAAAACAAAATTTATTAATTAAAAATAAATGTACCTTTGCTGATACATCTTGTAAATCTCTAATATCTTTTTTTTCTTGCATAGGAGGACATTTCTGTACATATTCGTTTAAGATAGCCAATAACAGAAATTGAGCAGGTGCCGTTAAAGATAGGCCGTCCTTGAGCAAACCAAGTAAAGATGCCCAAGATTCAATAAGAGATTGGGACGTGTTACTTTGCATATAAACGTAAAGCAATTCCAACACGGAAACTTCCAACGAGAAATCTTGCTTCACACCATGAACTGGTGGTTGATTTTTTACGACCTGATGAACAGTTTGAACCAGAGTATCGATAGGCATCACACGTATCGCGCTTACTAAGTGAACCATAACTTGTTGATTTGAACAAGCTTCTGGAAGCACCTAAATAAATAAATAAATAAATAGCATATAATATTTAGGATATTATATTATTGTAGACTTTTTATAGTATGATTACCTTTTTAGAATTACTAGAAGGCTGCCGTCTCTCATGCCAAGCAACAGCAATAGCGGCCAAGAAGTTCACACCATGGTGGAAAGATATAGGAGACAAGAGTTCTAGAAGTTGATGTTTCACTATTCTTGGACTACCTACTACGCAACTGGCCTGATCACTATATTTTGATTTGAAAAAGATTTATTAGTGTAATATATACTTTTAACCATTTCAAGTAAAAAAAAAAAAAAAGTAAAAAAAAGTTGAGAATAAGACAAACTTGTCCTTGGTTGCTAACACTGCTTGCCAGAGAGTAGAAAGAGATGCGATTATTCGTGGTAAGTGACTTAAAGCGGTTCTTCGAGCGTGCTGTTGTAGTTCATTGGCCCCATTTTTATCTTTTGATGATGTAAGCTCCTACAAAAAAGATATATATGTATATATTTTATATTAAAATATTTGGAAAAACATTATATTTTTTATATTCTTACTGAAGAGAGTGGGCTTGGCATAAATACGTGGATAAGATTATTAAATATTTGGCCTGGATTTGCTCCAGGTATTCCAGTCTGAACTGTGCCACTCAAGGGTTGATTAAACGAGAAACCTATTTGTTGTGATGTATCCAATAAACAATAGTGGAGTAAAAATGTTAAAGCCTCTAGATGTGTGACTGTGTAATCCGCAGGAAGACAGCATTCGACTGTACTTATATCTTGCAATTTCGTCGCCGTTGTAGTTTCTTCGTTAATGTAATACGACGCTAAGTGTTCGATGTTGCAGCATAATTGGTGAATAACTGATGTAACTGTAGATGTTAACGAAGGTCCCATGAACGGAAGACTCGACGTAACGAGAGTTGTCCAATGTTGGTGTAAATGTCTCATATGATCCTACAAACAATCATAAACCAAATTATAAACCAAAAGGATTGTTGCGAAATTACTAAAAGTTCACTTTTACCAATTGTAAAGCACTTAATATGCTGGCAAGGAACATTGGCTGTTGTGGAATTGATGCACCAGGCAAATACTTCAAACTATTTCCCGTAATGTTAGGAATGGTCTTTATTGGAGTACTTGGTGTTGGTATGATTGGTGGACATATTTCTTCGCCTTTTTGATTACCACATTGATGTTCCAACATAATTAAAGCTAACAATAATCTTAAATAACAAAAAAGTATTTATTAACATAATGTAAAGCACTTGTCTTTTTGTCTTCTAAATATTTACCTTAACAGTTGTATTTGGAAAGCCTCTGTATGATCGCTTGCACGATATTTGCATTTACTAGTATCACTGTCTGTGACCGGATCATTGAATAAAATGATTTCTTCCGTAAATGTAAATATTTCTTCACTTTCTTTATGAGCATTTTTCATATTCATCACACTAGATACAAGACAATGTAATGCAACTTTTTGTACTTTACACTTAGTAAGCAGATCGATTATATAACAACTAAAGCCTTTCCCCGAATCACAAACGATAGGAATTAATTCGGAGAATATAAGTGTTAACAGTTCTGCGCTTGCAAGTTGCACCTGATAAAGTCAATTTCAATTAATATTTACACAAATTTATTTACATAAACAAAATTTTTAATGTTATCACCTGTCGATTTCCCGAAATTTCTTCATGCGTAAGTCTCATCTGTCCTAAATTAGGATAGTAACTTCTAGCAAAATAAAGACACACACTAATTAAAACTTCCAAATACATGCTACTTCTATAAGCTGCTATGAACTCTGTATTTGCTATATCTCCATGAAAGTTCCTTCCAAATACACTTTTCCGGTGTCTAGCTAATAAGTTTAACAATGTTGTGTTTTTTGTTGTATTGGTTACGCTAGTTGTTGCAGCACAACATAGAAACATTCTAGTATTGGTCAATAATTCGTTTCGAAGGGTACGCAATGCATAAAGTGTTCTATTCGAATCGTAAACTCCACAGTAAAGTAACATATGTGAATGAAGATTGTGCACTCCAATTCCAAAATTGCGATTCGTTTTTGAGTTTTGGGTCTCATCAGTCTGTAAATATATGTTGAAATAATACAAAACTGACATAATTCAATTAGTGAATATAATATGAAGGATCACTTACATTTTTAGATGGTTCAACAACGTCGCAAATTTGCATTACTTTATCAAGCACTTCGTTTAAAATTTCTTCGACTATACTATTCCCACTAGAGTTACTAAAATATTCTTCTGCAGTTGTACTAACATCCAGGTCTGCTTCTTCGTCATCCATCGTCCAACTAGGTACTTCGACACTTGCTTCGAAACTTCCAACATCATGGACATCGTAATTCGTCGCGAATTCATTTGTGCTATGATATTTGCCCTTAATGATAGTCCCCGCTACTTCTTTGGAACTACCTGGCATTATTATAGCCTCTTTCTTCTGTTTCGTTTGCTTATTAGTGATTTCAGGACTACTGGAGTCGAAACTATTGGTAATGGAATCCAAGGACGAACCAACTTCTCCATTTAGTTTTTTAAACCCACTTTTTTCTTTCGCCTTTAAGCTGGAATTTGCTGATTCGTAGAGGCTTTCGTCTAAGCTAGCAGTCGAACCTTTGTCAAAATCCATCTTCTTAAATCTTGTTGCATTCTTTAACAACTCTGTTGTTAAGTTTGTCTTCTTCACACTGGGTAACAAATCATCCTCCGTCAATGAGTCATTGGAGTTTTCGTTGCAGTTAAGCGACAAAGGATTCACGAAAACAGAGATCTTTCTATTGCCAGATATACTGGGAGGTACTTCGAGTTCTTTCATAAATTGATTTTTTTCGGTTACATATTGATTACAATTATCACCAGCGGCCAACGTTGTTACAGCGAATATTCTTTTCACTTTTACAGGATTTATAGCTTTTTTCTTCTTTTTACCTTTTCGCCATTTCTTATCTTCATCCATGTTATCACTAACGTGGTATATTACATTTCCGTCTACTGAACTGATTGCGTAAATTTTTGCTGCACCCTCTGTGTCATCTTGTACCTCAGACTTTTCTTCTATAGAATCATTTTTCGTCAGGACAGTATTGCTATGTTGTATACTGACATGTAGCACGCTCATACGACAGGTAGATGGATCCAGGAGTATTATCAATAACGGATCTACTATACGTGAAATGTCACCTCGCATTAAAGAGTGCAGAAGCCACGACTGAGCGTGAAGCTTCAGAGGAGAATTATCTGCGAGCTGCAGATTATCCAGTATTTTTAACAATGACCTATAGAATAATTTGTATTAATAACAAGTGACAAAACATTATTAAAAGGTATATTAAGAAGTAATATGACATACTGATCGAAAGATTTCATACAGCCTCGCAATCTAGGGTTTGTTTCAATTTCACGCCCGAGATGCCATAATGTGGCGAATCTATTGAATGCTTCTATTCTTTTTTCTATATTTTCTGACGTGAGTGCCAGTCCTATCACATCCTCTACTGCATTACAGGAATTATGTAAAGCATGGTGCAATTCGTGTAATAATTCAACGCACCGCATTCTGTATTTATGAGCAGGTAATTCGCCAAGATGGTGCCACAAGGAATGCGCTAGTATCTTTAAAAAAATATGCTCATTTTAGATCTCAAGAAATCTTTATCGAAAGTTTATGCAAACTCATAATGTATGAATATATTACAAATACCTGAAATATATTAGTATATTGCAACAAGTAAGTTATATGCCATTGTTTCAATAATGGTACCATAATTACAGCCGTTACTCCCTCTCCGCTTTTTGGGTGGGTTTCAATGTCGTTATGAGCTTTCAATAAAGCTACTAAATCCAACAACGTAGCAATACTGGTTAATTGTAAAGCAGGTTGTTTTCCCAACCAACAAGCACAAACTACTAAAACTTTCAACCAATCTGGAAGAATAATATTTCCCTTTGGTTCTTCTTCAACAAGTAATCCATCACCAGGGAGAAAATACTTCGGAAATGTAGACAATTCGACAAACAAGCTGGAGGCAATTTTCATAGCTTCATCCCATTCTGCTTGTGAAACGGAATCGATATAGAGATGAAGAATGTCTAACTGTTTGGTATCTTCTGTCACGGAACTGTCTTGGCTGAAGAAACCAGAATCCTCCATATTCAATCTGAAGTTCAATAAAAGTTCTAAATATCGCATTCTCTCATCGAAACTCTCCCTTGGACATGGTATCATCAAATTACCGAACATATTTTGAACTGTTTTGTCTTTACTCAATACTCTATTACTAACTAATTTAACATAAAAAGTCTCGTACTGTCTTAAACATTTTTCTAACATCGAATGTTGAGCTTGAAACGCAGGAGACGGTCCCCTACCTAAGGATCCTGTGGAGCCCATAGGACTACTTTTACTTGACTGTTTCAACGTAGACAATTGATCCTTCGATGGAGAATTAATGATACTTTCAATGTATTCGGTTTTTATATTGTCCATGCTTTTATTTCTTGGCAAACCTTTGGATTCTGTATTCGCCATTACTGAAATATTGGTACTTGGTTCCGGTAGAGACTCGCTTAGTTTTGAGGTACTTTTACTAGATTTTTTTTTGGACTTTTTGTCAGATCGTTTCGTAGCACCTCCCGAGTTTGCTCTTCTTCTAGGACTAGGGCTTTTCTCGGAAAATGAACTGGTAGTTGTGTCTGGTTTATTCAATTTACTATCGGATTGACTCTTCTCCAAAGGAATCGCGGTTAAGGAATTATCATTGAGCGTTGTAATAGTACTGGTAGTTATATCCAATTTCATTTCTAATTCGTTTTTCTCCGTGTGATTCGAAACTACTGTCGGCTGTACTTTTGTTAGTATCTTTGCGCATAATCGAAGACTTCTCGAAATCTCCATAGGAGATAAAAGATCGATATGGTATAAAAGTTTACTAATGATCTCGTAGAACAAACCGGGTAGATGCTCGGAAGGAGTGTCTATAAATGCATCCAACGACACCGTCTCGAGCAGGAATTCAGTCAATATACATACTTCCATGAAATTCGGCGTTCCACTACCTACAGGTCTCACGATTATGTCTTCTATTCCTTGTTTATTTTTTGCTCTAGCTTGACAAGCCGTTCCAAACAAATATCCACAATGTATCCATACATAAGATGGTTCCAATGTTGAAAATAATAAATTTGCTGATTTTACTACTTCATTTGTTTTTGGTACTCTGTTTGATTGACCGCAGGCATTATAAAAAGTTCTGAGAATAAAAGATGAAAATTTCTATACTATTGAAGATATTTATTATTTTGCCGCAGTGATTTTGAATATATTGTTTTACCTAAAAACTTCAAATAAAATATCATCCAAAATTACTGGACCAATATCTGCCTTTTCTAGCAAAGAAACCAATATTCTGTATGGCTTTAAATCTTGTGGACTTTCCTCACAAACAGTTTTTAATAATGACTTTATTGCTTCAATTAACATTTCCTTCGAGTACATATCAAAATAAGTAGGTGTATTTTCCGTGCTTTCTGAAACTTTAGTATTCGTTTTTCTTTTTAAAATAGATGTGCTTACTTCAGTTCCCAAAAGCCAAGCAAATAATCGCCTATATTATACATACAAATTAATTTTCTAATATATTAAATTCGTTATTTTTATGTGTATTTTTTATTTCTGCATTTTACCTATTCAAACTCATGTCTCTTCTCAATATGGTAATAAGAGCAGCTGTGACTAGTGATACCATGTGCTCATATGTTAATTGACTATTATGTACAGGAAAACCAACTAACAGCAAATCCAAAGCACTTCTTTGTACTAACACAGAACTGTCTTGTACTCCAGCACAGAGAGCAGTAACCTGATCCATGAATCACAATCAATCAATGAAATGTAAACGTATGATATTAGGTTTTTGTAACAATTTTTATTTTTACCATAATATTAGTGTCTGTCCCCATGATGTATTTTTGTTCTTCCATTGGCAGTTTCTTGTTGAAATGTGCTAATACAAAAGATATAGCAGGTAATCGTATTCCAGAATTTGAAGCTAAACAATCCCATAAACATGCATAAAAGTGTTCTGGACCTACTCCCTCACATACTTTCTCCAATAAGGAATTAGTTCTAAAAAAAAAAACAAATTCACAAAATTTAAGAAAATATTTCAACTCTTGTCTTATGATCCATGTTGTTTCTATTGTTATACCTATCAAAGTGATCAGACCCATCCTCTAAACCAAGTAAAACGCCACTTAAAAATCCACTCAATCCAGGCCTTAATCTCTCTCCAAGAGGTACAAAATGAGTTTCATATACTGTCAATAAAGATGGTCTTACATTCATAGCAGCATGACCCAATAATGGAAATAGACCTATAAAGAAGTTCATATTAATATGAACAGAAGCTAATAAACAAATTTAAATTGTACAACTCAAAGGTTAATCTTACCAGCACTATATATAAACAGTTCATGACTCAGTCTATTAGTGCCCATACACTTGAAAATAATGTCATAAGTTTCTAAAGCTTTTAAATGAACACCGGATGGCAAAGCAGGATGCATACATTGTGCTAATCTTTTAGATATCTTAATTCTTCTAGGGATAACCGGGAACTTCATATGACTTAATAACACCTTGTTTAATTTTCCAAGTGCAGAGATTAAGTCTGCCCATTCGCTGGTATATTCAAAGCTCTTTAGAGCTTTGTCAACAGCAGACACATAGCTATGTGAACATACAACATACATTAACTTGTATAGAAGATTAAGATTCAATGCTCCAGAGTTTTTTTTTCTTTGTGCATTTATTAATAGAATGGCATATAATATATATGTCAGATGTGAAACACTTTACTTACACTCTATATTTAGAGTCTTTCATAAGTTCAAATTCTTCCAAGGCTATAGAACCCATTGTTATGGTGTCTTATTGTAATTTTACAATAAAAATAGATGACTATGTATCATATATACTTGATCCTTTTTACATTATTCCAGCACTGATCAGTATCACAAATGATTCATACGAAGCAATCATCACTCTTATCACACAATACATTGTGTTTAGATAAAGAAATGTCCCTTGGTCTAAAAAAGAAATTCACAGTGAAATCTTTTCATCGCAACTTGTTCGCGCGTTTCTCAACTTTGTTTGCACTCGCACCGATAAAAATAAGCTGTAACGTTCAGATATCGACGAATGGTTCAACGATTCGTCGTTGCTTCGTGGTCGCGTTGAAGACAAATAGTTTTATCTATACTGAAGTACATAATTGTGTTAATCTTACCATACGATTGACAAACGCTATACCATTTTTGGGAAAAATAGTATGAAACGACATTTGTTTCTTATGATTCCGAGAGTCTGTACACTCTTACTACGAGATTATCGAAAGAATTTTATACGTAGAAAAAAAAAAATTTAACACGACCAAATAAACTCCGCGCTTCTTTTGTGTTTATACGTTCACGGCTGTCCGTTTCGATGATCGTTGCTCATTCCGCGTACAAGTTGTTCAAAAATATTTCAGAGGGAACGACTAGAGGAAACGTCGAACGTCGATTTAAGGTTAATGAGATACTGTTTACGTAAACGGGTGTAGAACGAGTTTCAAAAATTAATAATGTCCATCGTATCGCGCGTAGATAAGACCCGAACGAACACCTCACCTTCTGATGTTGACATTTCGAATTTGCATATGTCGTTAAGGGTGAAGGTGAAAAAGCATCGATCACAAACGCGATCGTCAAGGGATAATATCGGAGGAGAAATCACGGGAAACGATAGAAGTCGCGGGGTCACTCGATAATCCTGGGAACGGATCACCGCCGCAATTTCCGTGATAATACGCTTTCGTCAAACGAGCTTTGCCATCATTTCGTACGAGATACGGACTACCTGAAGTTGGTCATACTGGACCATATAAGGCGAAACACACAGGTTTCAAGCGCACGTCACCGCGTGCATCGATGCTACTTATTGCGTTTTTTTTCTTTTCATTTGTGTACGTCTCTGGGCACGTAACAAACAAGATTGTAGCCCGCGTGACGTGAAACGTTCGTGATATAACACTAGTTCGGCTAATTGGTTGGAATTCTGTCTTACAAACTGGCCGTCGCTATCCCCACGTTTCCTCGACATTGTCTTTACGAAGTGGAACTCCCGAGTTTCTTTGACTCTCAAAGCCTCACGTATGATTATTTAATTGTTTCTTCATTAATCTAGATAGAATTTTTGGCATATACCTTCTTTTTTTAATCGGTCAGATTTAATTTTGACCCGCAGTCAGTTAACAAGGCAAATATATTACTGTAATTTGAAGAGACCGCGTTCGCTGGTTTTCAATCAATGCCGCGGTAAATTGGTAATTTGAATTTTCACTTGTTACTGCCAATTTAATTTTTCACAGGAGTATAAATAGTCGTGCAACTTTTGTGATGTGTTTTTTCATCAAAGTTCACTTCGCATGGAGAAACTACGTATTGTAAGTTCGTTTAGTACAAATATGGTTTTATACTTACTAATTCACTTTAATGAATTATAACTATTATGTCCAACGTGGCGTGAAAAATATGATTTACAAATATATCTAACGACAGTCCAACAAATATAGGAGTGTGTAAAACGCGTACTTACAAAGAAATGATATTTTATCCTGCGGTTTTCGCGTCCTTATCTTTTTCAAGTCCAACCTTATCTTCAATTGTACATAGGGGAAAGTTTGTTTGATCACATATATGTTATCGACACGTGAAGCACGATTGACGTGCCAATATTTTACGTCGTTTTAATAGTTTACGTATGCCAATGAAATATATTCATTTATTGTTTCCTTTGTCCCTCATAATAATTGCTTCCTATTACAATTTCGTATAAATAGCATCTTAAAAGCAATGTAAATATCAAACGCTCGTTACTCATACTTACAATACATCACAAAATGTTTGTGTTCGTTCAAGGTTTTCCGTAAATTTTTTTTTTTTTTAATAATACTATGGTTAGTAATGTGATTTATTTCATACTGCTACAAATTCAATTTCGATTCTAGATCGGTATGATTAAGAGAATAATCATACAGATGAATTAATACTTGCGAAGAGATTAGTTATTAAATTTTGTTACAGTCAGCCTCTGAAAAATAGTCCGATTTCATTGTAAAAAATCAGCTTCTACATGGTGTTACAAGATTATTTACATGGAATGTGCCTAAACGTTATAAACATTCTAAAACTAAAACAATATATTTAAACAATAAAAGTAATTACCATTCTTTTACACTGTGAAAGTATATTCGTAGTTTCTGTACGTTATGTAAATAAGTCAGTTCTTTTGATTTCTGTTAATAAGTTTGATAGTATTAAATACCATGCAATAACTTGAGGAACTCACAACAAAAAATTAAATGCATTACATGCAGTATAACAATTAATTAGTAAATATGTTAAAATTTAAATTTGAACGATTTAAACAAAATATTATCGTGATATGTTTTCTTACATGGAATATAAGATTTGACCAATTTTATATTTTAATATGTATAACTCATCATATAACTAATAACTTTTGACTCTTCTTAGTTTTAATTAATATTTCATGTAGTTGCAAAAAGATCACATTGCACGAATATATCACTGAATGAAAAATTATTTTTGATATAAATCTTTGTGACTATGTTCTTCCTCATCAAGAGTTTAATTTTGCTCCTAATGGCTGAGGTCTTGAATTGCGTTCAATTCTCTTCTGTTGCTGCTCAAACAGCCGTTGTTCTCTTTCTCTTCGCTTCTGTTCTCTTAATGTCTTTGTGGGATCTCCAAATTCCTTTGTTGTTTCTTCCTCCCAACCAACAGCATTGTCTTCCCAGTCTCCTAGTTCATTCTACAGGAGCATAGTTTTAGAAATTATATAGTTTCTTCTCATTAAAAGCAGTTATTCAAGAAATATCAACATACAGATGGTACTGGATTATTGACTACGGCAAACTTTGATGCGTTCCAGGATACATTTTCTGAATCTTTGTCCTTCACTAAAATCTTTGTCTGCGTAGTAATCTTTGGTGTCATATTCTGTGAAACATACAAATATAAGGCAGATATACAAATTTTCCCATTGCTGAAACAATAGAAATAATTACCTCGAAAAAATTTGGTTGCTGCTCTTCTGTGGATTCTGGTGGTTTTGATACTTGCTGCCTGTATTGTTCAATCTTCGATTGTATCGTGTTAACTGGCCTATCTGGCACGACCACGACAGGATTTTCCTCCCATTGATCCCAGTGCTCTAATTCCTTGAGCAAGTATCTTCAGTAATTACTATTATCACAGTCAATGGTACAACAGGATTTACATAATTTTTGAATCGTTATAAAACAGATGAACTAAAAAAGAGTGATGAACAATAATGTTTGAAACTCACTGGTTGTGCTGTGTTGTTTACGGTGTTTGGTACTACGCCAACCGCGGACAAAGGGATTGAATCACAGGACGACCTTCTTCGACGTCGGAGACAGCACATTGCTCGTCTAAATATTCCCAGAAGAACTACCATGAGAGCTTTCAGTCGATTTACTAAAAATTCTACTGCCATCGCAATGTCGGCATAGATCTAACCTCTTTCACAGTGATAAAAAAAAAACGTATGTGCCTTTATTACAAAGAATTAAGATTGATCAAATGCCATTTTGTTGAGAAATATTTCGAATCAAGTGATATTTCAGTGTCGAGTCACTTTATACATGCTTTTCAAATGCTGTTGAAAAATGAACTTGTTTGTCCGGCATTAGTCTCTCATAAAACAATAAAGAGGTTATCGAGAAAAATCGATTGAAATCTATGGCGTCGATAGTCGATTCGCTTTCAACAGGTTGCCATCAATTAATCGTACTTCGACCTTTTCGCAATTCAAATTTGAATTTCCTTTTTTCGAAATGAGTTTTATCAAATCTTTCATTCGTTCAAATTCTTGCAAAAATTCGAATTATGTCCGCGAAAGGATGAAGAAGCAAAGCAGAATAATCAAGACTAATAAATGTGTTCGTTTATTTCGTAAACATTTGGCTACGTGCGAGTACATTTTTCGCGCTTCGTTCTACGATCGAGTTGACATTTCTCATACGGGCCGCATTTGATTCCAGCACAATAAACGTTGCCTAGAAAATAAATTTCGTTAAGCATATTAAAAAGATGAAAGTCCTGAGAAATTGTGTCAATTTTTTTACCATTCGATGATCCTTTGTATCCATTACCGGTGCTGACAGCGCTTGCTGGAGCACACGAATCACTTCCGCATTTATTCGGGCAGCATTTCTCGTTGAAAGAGCATTGGAAATCCGAAACGCATCTGGGACTGCATTTTGAAATGCTGTTTCTTAATGGACAATGGCCTTCTTTGTCTAAAAGATTGATAAATTTTGAATACATTTACGTGACGATAATTCGAATGTTCTGATTCTTGGAAACAGAAACTCATTTCGATTAATTTTAGTATCAAATGAATTGCATACTGTCAAAATTGTCAAATGGATTAATGAATACTTGTTAAGTAAACTGTACTGAAAAAGTGTACAACTCGCATGGTAATAGTTATGCAGTATCACTTTTTATACGTATGTCTTAAACATACAATCACAGATAAAATTTAAGATAGATCAAAACATCTATAAAAGTCGTATCGATTTTTCTTTTTCAATGATTATGTACAACTGTATATATATATATATATATATATATGTACAACTGTATATATATATACATATATATATATGTACAACTGTGTATATATATATATATATATATATATATATATATATCACGATAAAATATTTGGCAATATAGAAAATTTTAATTGCAGTT